GAATGCATTATTCCCACTAAAAAATTTAWCAAGCTTTTAAATTTGCAAGATGTAGAATGAGCAGTATTTTTGTATTTGGTGCTGCAAAAATACTTCAAATGTTYGGTACAATACACTCATCCTGTCTTGGTACAGGAGAGCCCAGCMAGTGCACATTCACATGTCACCACATATCAATATACAGTGCTGACACTAATCAACTAATGAGATTTTAAATGCAAACAAACATTAACTTTTTCTTAAATTTTTGAAGATACAGAAGTTTTCAATTTCCTTCTAGATTTTTCTCTCATGAAAAATAAGATTCAATACACTTATACACTTCACAAGACCAATACCTTTAAAAAGTGAAAGTAGCAAACATTTTAACAATAAACTTTAAGCAAACCAACTTGACAGCTTACTTTGTAAAATATATGGAAATGGATTAATTTGATTAATTGGAAGAAACAGTTTCCCTTAACAACAAGAAACACTCACTTGGTCTCTGTACCTGCAGTAATAAAGACATTAACCTTTCCAAATTAAAATGTCTTTAGTTACACATTATTATAAACCCTCTCTGCTGTGTCTGAAACTAAAACACACCATCAAGCTTTCCATGGYTCCTGTCACTTACCTTACATAAGCTTCATAGGAGGACCAGTGCCTCACAGGATGGAAACCTGTGCATGCACAGCACAGCAATCCTGCACGTTTGCAGGGAATGGGGCACCTCCTGGAAGTGATGAATTTAATGTGTGTGCACAGCAGCAGATTATCAGATTAGCAGCACACACAGACTGGGCCCAGCAGCACTCAGAGAGCAAAGACAATGAGCGAGTCCACAGCACAACAGAACTGCACCAAGCAAAAACAGAGCAGCTCTCTGGTTTATACAAAACAAAACACACTCACAATGAAGTTTATTTTGGTGTGTTTCAGGTTAAAACCCTCTTACTTCAGACTGCAGCACACAGGACCTGAGCAATCAGAAAAAAATCAAAGGAAGAATAGATGGACCATGTGTAGGCCAYGCAGCAGAGTGAGAACAGCACCAGGCATTACAGTAAGATTTTATTCTGGGTAAGTGGCAAAAAGAGCTTATTTGAGCCAGATTGAAGTCCTCACAGTAAAATTCAGCTAAATAGCAATTTCTAATTGAAATAACACAATTTAGCAGCAGGCCCATCAGATATCTGGCAAACACAAAGATTTAATTTAATAACAGATCCTATCTGTACTACAGATGTTCCCTGTCAGAATCGCACAAGTCAGAAATGTTAAAGAGCTACAATTCTTAATCAACAGAGCTGTGCTGGCACGAGTGCCTCATACTGGTATAATCAGATCTGCAAAACTGTACTTTTACCTGTTTGTGCTGTTTGCAGGGTGGGGAAGGTGAGCATCACCCTGTGCACTGGGGTCTCAGCTCTGTCACAGACCCCTCCAAGCAGGGAAGCAGTTCATCTCAGGGGCTGGGGGAGGAAATACTTTGAGAGTTCTCTCAAAGTGGAAGAAGTTATATATTGGCAAAGAGATTACAAGGTAGGTGTGTAGGCAGGAGATGCTTTGCCAGCACAGCTCTGTGTCAGCAGCTGGGGATAGAACTGTGACAACTCCACTGATGAACTTTGGTAATCCCTAACACAAGGCACTTACACTGGGCACATCCTCTAAACTGTAAGCCCATTAACTCTGGGAAACAAAATTCATACTCACTGTAATGTTTTTTGCATTTATGAAAACATTAGTTTTAGCAGGGAAGAAAAACATTACATACACGTCATTTTTATTTTCTAGTCAGAACTCCATGGGTGGTTAACAGCCTAGGCAGATACTGACTTAGTAACAGASTGACATTTGGCATTTTACTACTCCTACAGTACCTTCTGAAGCCTTTACTCACATTCTTCTGAGTAAGATAATCCCATAGTTGTGCTACCAATGAAAATTTAGCCCCCTAAAATTGAATTTTGGGGTCAGGTTTACTTCTGCTCTCAGGGTTGAACAGCATGAGCAAAAAACAGGTAACAAAGAGATTTTGTCCATTAAGGAAAGCTGTGAGCAGATTCAAAGCAGKGCAGAGAGCTCTGCTGCTTTCTTTTCCCCTTTTATACACATTAAGAAACAATAAAACTAACTTTAAGTGGTCAAAAGACCAAGCACAACCACTCTGTACAAGAAACTTTCTAAAGGCTGCAGCACAAGCTGATTTTACAAGTCATGSTTGAAAGTTTAGTCAACAGAGGTATCAATTACAAACACTACCCGCATATTACTCAATACACAGGATCTTTAGCACTCCATTTCCATCATCTTAAATTAAAATATTTTCGTATGCATACTATTAATTTGCCTAATTTCAGTTTCTGCTACTGAAATTGGTCTCTTAAGCAACTCTTCTTTGGGCAGGCAATTCACACTCTCTAGCATTCTGCCCTGGTATACCASGGAAATTATTTATTTACCAGTGCTGTTAGGAACATTAAGATGTAAATCCATAGCTAAAGCAGAGAATTTTGAAGTTTAACTTTTTATAATTCCTCAGCTTGTTTATTTTTAAATAATCCATAATTTCTGACGCTACCAGTACAGCTGTTGAAGAAAACAATCATGTGGTTTTGCGATCTTTTCCCTTATTTAATTTGTAAAAAGTGAGCTAAAATACAACCCCTGAAACTAGGTATCATTTTTTATTCTTATTTCATCAAAACAGCTTCACTGAATGAAGTAAACAGAAATTACCTTCTTCCACATTTGGTGAAACACAATAATTACAACACACTGATTATATTATTAAGGATACAGTAAACACAGTTGAGTTTCCAGTTTTGCTTAGAGCTTACTGGAAGAATGCACATAATGCATATTTAATCTGTGTGTCTGAGCTGCCTAACCAGGAATTTAAGTTTTTTAAACTCAAACTCTATCAGTGCTCTTGAGACAACCACCAGTAACACCTGGGAAATATCCACTTATTTCARAAGCTGCATTAGATAAAAATTTCACAGCAGTGACCCCTTGAAGCATTAACTGAGATCTGAGAAGTCAGGCCTGATTGCACACAGTTCTCGCATAAATTAGGGAAATCTTACTTGTATTAAAATCATCTCCTTCAATCTCCTACCACTGCCCTAATACTTGTGGCACAAGAGACACAAGGCAGAAAGTGCACCAGAGAATATAAGTGGTGCAGAGACACCACCASTTGTCTCAACTAAAGCCACCTAATGTCAGTCTTGCCCAGTCCAGACCCTTCTCCTACTTCTATTGGCTACATTTTATAACTCTCAGCCCAACCCCTTTAATCCTTGCTCTTCCTCTACCCACTAATACCTCCAGCTTAAAGTTTCAGGCTGTACAGAATTAAAGTCCTACAGTCATTAAGTTACAACTATAAAGACAATTACTATCTTAAACCAGAAATAAATAATGTGATCAACTGCCAGAAAATCTTAGTAGTGAAGCTGGATTAAGCAGAATAAACAGTGGCCTTTGCAAGTCCACTAGACACTGAAAAAATATTTGTTCAATTTTATCTACTAACCTAGATTTTTTTCTATTTGCATTGCTTTGGGGAGTTTCAGGTTTTGATGTTGTTTGCTTTTTTAATTCAAAATACATCTCCTAGTTATGTGAAAATACCCTCTGAAAAACTGTTGGAATTACAGATATTAGTTTATACTGTTATTTTTTATTTACTATTTAAAATCTGTAGGTATTTTTGCAGTGTACATATATTTGCAACAGAGCAACACSTTCACTGCATACCAACTGAAAATATCCCTTAAAGAAACAAACAAGACAAAAACTTTGTAAAAAAATTATTTAAATGCTGGTCTTGAAAGCACCAATTATTTGAGTTTCAAATCACTGGAGTCAAGCAGTTTCAATGGAGGCTGAAGGCTAACATGAGCCTTTAGTCTTCCACCCAAGTGCATTAAAACACCTTCATGTGGAACTGTCAAGGAAAAAAAAAATTAAGGCCTAACTGAAGAGCTATTTTGAGCTTACTTCTATATTTATTCCTATAGAAAGTTCTAAATGTCATGGAATGATAAGAAGCAGCTGGCACACAAAAAAGTGGAGCACCACCCAGAATATCTACTACAACTAACACAGTATATGCTACACTTGGACAGTAACTACACCTCATTTTTCATTAACCAGAAATTCAACTGGTTAAACAGCTGGSAAATTTTGTTTATAGAAGTAGCACCACGACTGTTAAAGCTAGACTTATTCAAATTACCACTTAGAAGAAAACAAGCAAAACAGACAAAAAAAGCAAACTGTGACAAAGTTCTCATAAAAAAAGGCAAAATATAGTTGAGTATCAACTGCCAAAGAATTTACTTAAATAAGACTGTGATTACTAAGTATTCAAAGGAGCTATTTCTAAAAAAAMCCCTCAACTCTATTATCCAGGGGAAAAAGTAAAACAGTGACTTTATGAATGCTATATACATTCTTTTGAGTTAAATAAAGGGAATCAGCATTTTTTTTCCCTCCCTTAAGTTCCTGCAAGGAAAACAAGAAAGTCCATGCAAGAAAAAGAGCCCGTTACACTGTTTCAAATTACTGATGATAGAAACTGCAGGGGGAGTGTAATACACATTCATTTTATAACACATTWTGAGATTTTAACTTGGAAAGAGTATTACAAATGACAAAACTCAGATAGTAAGATTTTCATAATCGAAACTAAAACATAAGCTGTCGCTTAGAGATATAAACTGAAAGCTATTTAACTGTACAAAGCAGAATTTGGTAGCCAACAAATAATGGTTTTTGCAAGCCAAACAAACAGCTTCAAACTGTCATCACCTCCAAGAGACAGCATTTAAGTACATTAGTACCATTTAAGTACATTAGTGCTAGGGGTAGAGAATAGTTATTGGCAAGGAATTTRTTAAATATTTAAAGCCGGCCAACAATTCCTACTAAGTATTCTTTTTTTTTTTTTTTTTACTCTACCAAAGTGTCAGCAGAACATGATAAAGTGCAACTCGTCATATTTAACTCACCAAGAAGATCTCCTCCTTTGCTCAGAGAAAATCAACATCTCCCCAAGGCAGGGAAGTTTGAGTCCCACCCGCCGAAGCCCCGGAATGGTTTCGCTCGGGCTCGGTTGCGTTTCTGGGTCCCCAAGGGCGCTCCCCCGCCCCAGCCACCCCCGATGCGGGCCCGGGCACGGTGGGAACAGTCGGTGGTGCCGTCACGAAGCGGTTTCCCGTTGTCAGCTTGGCCGTGACGGCGCCGGGCTCCGAGCACACCCGGCCTCTCCTCGCCGCGCCTTCCCCCCAAGATGGAGGAGCCGCCTTCAGCCCGCTCCGCCCGGGAGCGGCCGCTCCGCTCCGTCCCCACCGCGGCGTGAACCAAAGCCTTCCTCCGGGGYCCCGGACGGAGCCGCCGCCTCCTCCAGACCGGGCCGGACCAGGCCGTGTCCGCACCCCGCTGCTCCCCGGGGAACCCGCCACACACACACACCCGAGCCGCTCCGGCCGCCCGCCCGCCCGCCTCCATTTTATAGCGAGCCCAAAGACGGCCGGGCCGCCTTTCCCGCGACCTCCCCGCCGCAGCGATGGCCCCGCTCCCGCTCTCCTCCTGCACCGATACTCCCCCGCCCGCCTTCCGCACTCACCGCGGGCAGGGAACGGGGCTCTGGCCGCGGCCGCCGAGGGTCTCAGCCGCGCCGCGCCGCCATTTCCTCCTCGCTTCGCGGCAGCGCTGGGCGGGGCCGCCCCGCCCCCGCCACCATCGACACCGAGATGGCGGCGGCGGGGCCAGAGCGCCGCCCTCGGCCTGCGGCTCCCGGAGGACCCGGCGGGCGCTGGCGGGAGAGCGGGGCCGCCCCTCAGCGCCCTCAGCGCCATGGCGGCCGCTCCTC